TGACGAAGCCTGATATCAGTTATAAAAGTATATAGCGCATGAAAGTCCCGCACGCTAAATGGAGCGTCAAGTATGCTAACGTTGCATTCATTTGATTATATTTATTGAGTACAAACAGGAGGAACGTCGAATTTCATCCTCACAGTGATTCTTTGATTAAATTGGTTCATAATAACATGTTACAATGATCAGTCATTCCCTATCACTGGCTAGATTCTACAAGCTATCACTACATTAAATCACGTGCAACAAGAGTAAGGACAATCTGATACAAGTACGTAGACTACTAGAGCAATCTCAAAATACAAACTACCGGGAAATTTCTCATATAACAAACTCCATATCATTGCATACAAATAGATGAATAGAAGAACAACATCGAGAGAGAGAGAAACCGGGAAATGAAGAGAAACAACTTACGAAACGAAGGTAATACATGAGCGCCTTACGTTACTAGGTTCATAAAAAGAGAGAAAGAGGAACGAAGCTCCTCTAGATACATTTCGGGAGTGAATGCTACCGAAAAAGAGCGCGAATCAATGGTCAAAGAGTGGAAGAGATCAACAACGTAATAATTAACACAATCGCTACAAAAAAAAATTAGAAAAAAAAACTCAGTAACAACGTACAACATCGTAACAACAGCATCAGCGTCTATTTGTCAATCGTCACCTAACCAATACCTATGATGACCACCCTATTTGGGAAATCATAAGAGACAGTATTGAGAGATGTTAATATCAAATGTACTAGCTCATAAACACATGATCCTGATAGGGATAGAGAGAGGGTAGAATGCAATTTTCGTCTATAAAACATGAGATTAATATTGAATCACAAGAGAAAAGAAGTCTCTTGCTTGATAGCTGGTGGGGGCGCTGATGTTGACATAGGAGGTGAGCTATTGTCGGATGTAGGCGCAACCTGGCTTTTCATTTGGCTAAGCAACAGTAACGGGTTCAAGCCTAGCAATTGAGATGGGAAGTTCCCTTGCGCCAGTTCTACAAGCTGCTGTTGAAGTGAATTGAGTAAACCTGAAAGCAACAACTTTGAGATCATTATGTATATAAGCTTTAGCTTATCAAATGCTATCCAGATAATCAATCCACCTTAG